TGCTGTTGGATTTCTTAAAAGGCATTTCTATATGACTATTTGATGATTGGGATAGATCTGTTTACAATCTTTAAACCACAAACGAAGTGACAGACGACTTACTGGCGAAGAAATCCATTTAAATAATGTGGTTCACTGTAATAGAATTTTCTTGGAAGCTTGTGCCATCATCCACCAGATGGGTTAGTTTTTTTGTTTTGATTTGAACAAAGTTGATTTTGTGTACAATGATTCTTTGACAGTGTGCAAAGAGTGCGTATCATTTTGTCATTTTTTTATGCATTTCAGTTTTGAGTAGAGTGAAAGAGATAGAACCAAAATATTCTAGTACATTTGGTGAAAATGCTAGTTCAATCCAATAGTAGTGTTGCCATGTTGTACAATCCAGTAGTAGTGGTGTTGCCATGTGGTACACTGAAAAATTGCAATAGCAGGTTAGTCACCAAAGTTTTCGAGCCGCTCCGTCTGTCACTTCGTTTGTGTTTAAACGTCAAAAATCAAAGCAAGCTATTACAATGAGATATACATGTTTTCCTATACTGCAAAGTTAAATGACAGTCCAATAGTTTCTACATGTCTATTTACACGCGACATATCAACAAACGTCAAAAATCAGTAAAAGCAACTCCAATAAAAGATACATGATTATCTTATAAGATATATATTTTAGTGAGCAATATTCATCATGAAAACAGGTATATTTTACTGAATTTTCTCATAGTGCAAACTTATATGATTTTCCATTAGTTTCTAGATGTCTGTTCCCACCCATGACATATCAACAGTTTTTCACCATGAAATATATCAGACAATATTCATATACTTCTTACCTTCGCTAACCACGTTCGAAGCAAAGTATTATCAAGTACTAAGTATGTGAAATTACGATAGAAATCATTCCATATCGCAGTCATAGTTTTTAAGTGATAATCCAATGGAATCTATCAATCATCACATAGAATGAATAAATCTGCTGACATTGCTATGTTATAAGATGGATCCAATAAACGGTACATGTCGATTTGTTTCAGTGTGGCAGACGAGAGAGCTACGTAGGTTGAAGTCAATCAAGAGAGCTGCATTGAGAAGATTTACGAAGTATCGCACGCTTCCTCTGAAACTACATTATGTGGGGCTGAATCACATGTACCAGCGAGTCAGTTGTGAATGCTTTTCAAGTTTCAACTTAAGCTGCACCCGAAATCCTTTTGGAACTACGTGAACGAGCAACGCAGGGAATCCGGCCTCCCATCGTCTATGGAATTCAACGGAGAAGTTGCTACCACCGTTCAGGATATATGCCACCTTTTTTTCGAAAAGTTTGCCAGTGTATTCACTAATGAGATACTAACAGACGACCATATTAATCTGGCTGCCAGGAACGTTCCAGTAAATGATCAAACACTGGGTGCAAATGATGTTAATACTGAGATGATTTCTAAAGCCGCGACCCTGCTCAAGTCATCCTTCAATCCTGGACCTGATGGAGTTCCATCTGTATTTTTAAAGAGACATATTGCTAGCTTGTTAATTCCGCTTCTTCGCCTGTTCCGAATGTCTCTCTCCAGTGGCATATTTCCATTTTGCTGGAAATTTGTGCACATGTTTCCCGTCCACAAAAAAAGGAAGGAACCGAGCTGTGGATAACTTTCGAGGAATTACATCGTTAAGTGCCGTTTCGAAGCTATTCGAGCTAGTCATTATGAAACCGTTGCTGTCCTATTGCTAGCTGTGTTTGAGTGCAGATCAACATGGGTTTACTGTCGGCCACTCTACAACCACCAATCTACTGTGTCTCACATCGTCTATAACCGAAAACATGTCGGATCGGGTTCAAACGAACTTTATTTATTCAGACCTATCCGCAGCATTCGACAAGTTGAACCATGCTATTGCGATTGCTAAAGTCGGCAGGCTCGGTGTATGCGGTAATCTTCTGAGTTGGTTTCGATCATATCTTACCGGTTGGCCACTAAAGGTTGCCATAGGAGATTGCAGATCAGCTAGCTTCTTCGCCACATCAGGTATACCTCAGGGAAGCTACATGGGACCGGTAATTTTTATACTGAACTTCAACGACGTGCATCTGGTCATCGAAGCTCCTCGGTTATCATATGCAGATGGCCTCAAAATCTTCCTACGAATCTGCTCCATTGCTGATTGCCACTTTCTTCAACGTCAGCTGAATGTATTCGCTAGTTGGTGCAGGTTAAACAGAATGGTAGAATTTGGCTGGGTTCAAAATTCTCCGCTATTACGTTCTCACGAAAACAACAACCGATAATATTTAGCTATGACCAGCTTGGCTCGACAATCGAACGCGTGAATCAGGTGAAAGACTTGCGTGTGATCTTGGATTCGCAGCTTTCATTCAAGCAACACATTGCATATGTTGTTGATAAGGCGTCAAGAACTTTAGGGTTCATTTTTAGGATAGCTAAAAACTTCACTGATATCTACTGTCTAAAATCTCTCTATTGTTCGCTTGTTCGATCGCTGCTTGAGTATTGTTCAGCGGTTTGAAACCCAAACTACAACAACGGTGCCGGGAGAATTGAATCTGTTCAACGTCGCTTTCTTCGTTTTGCGTTGCGTAGATTGCCTTGGAATGACCCGTTTCGATTACCCAGTTACGAGAGCCGTTGTCAACTTATCGACCTAGAACTTCTCCGGACTAGAAGTGACACAAGCAGAGCCCAAACCGTGGCCAATATTCTGCAAGGAAGGACAGATTGCGAGGCTACCCTGAGGCAAATTGACCTGAATATTCAACCCCGACCGCTTCGTAATAACCTTATGCTAAGACTGCCTCTACGTCGCACAATTTATGGGGCATTCGGTGCGATTTGCGGACTGCAGAGAACATTCAACAGAGTTGCATCTGTTTTCGACTTTCATCTCTCCCGTGATGCGCTTCGTCGAAAGTTTTCTTCTGTTTTTCACCGGCAGGAGTAACTGACTATAAGATATATGGTTGTTTATGTTATGACATAAACATTGTTTTGTAGTAAAGTTTTAATTATTCAAACCGCCCCTGGACTGGAAAAAAAACCATTAACATTTAACAAATTTCTTCAATATCAGAGTTGGTTGGAAATGCTAACATGAAGCTTTTAGTGTGATGATTTATTAGCTAGAGAATGATCTTTTAGAAGAGGGTAGGTGGATAGTTCCGTTAGAGTACGGCAGTATGAAAATTGAATAGAAGTTGAAAATGAGCGAAGGGCCATTAATGCGACAGTTTTCAAGATAGACGCACATTTTTGCCTAACCCGTACGATGTACGCGGGGACTTGAAGTATGTCTCCAAGTCCACAGGCAAAAATGTGCGTCCCTCTTGTTGCTCATAAACTGACTGCGGCTGTGGAATAGTTCTAGCGACGTTTTCATCACTACCTAAAGCCCCACGTTGCGAGAGCATTTCCAGTCGATGGTGTGTTATAATGCAGTTCTTCTTTACCCAACTATTGTGTTGCTCCTCTCGTCATGACCAACGGGTGATTGTTGCGTGCTGTACCATCATCAGCATTGTTGACGGCTACTACCGCCTTGAGTTGTTACATTCAAAGTGTTTTTATGTTACTTCATACGCGAAGTTAACGATTTTCAGAGTTGGTTGGAAATGCTAACATGAAGCTTTTAGTGTGATGATTTATTAGCTAGAGAATGATCTTTTAGAAGAGGGTAGCTGGATAGTTCCGTTAGAGTACGGCAGTATGATTATAATTTCGTCTCACTTGCTGCAATAATTGAATTTATATGTGCCTAATACACTGTATTAATTAGAAATATAATTATTATTTTACTTGTACCTCGGCATTGAGCACATGCTTGGTGCTGCAGTCGTTGTGAGCGTTCACACGGTAAGGTTCCAGGTCTGCCAGGGCGTCAATGCGTGGGATTCCAAGTTCTTCGTGGACGTCCAGGAAAATTTCGCGCAAATTTGTGTGTCCGTTGGTAGGAAAGTCTCTGTGTTTTTATGGTTTTTTTCAATTTGAACGATTAAAAAAACTCTAAAATTGATGGTTTGAAAAAAAAGATCTTATTCCGGATTTGTATCTGAAGGACGAAAAGTGGAAAAGGCTGATAGGCAAACAGAAGGTCATCAAGATGCAGTGAATCAAGCGGGACGCCATCCGGGAAGTTGAAGCATTTGAGTAAGGGTTGGTCGCCGGTAAGGGCCAGTAAGTGCTGCCAGCAGATGAATCAAGAGGTATGCGAAACAAAATTGATAAGAAATGTCCATTCAAATCGATTTAATACAGTTGAACAAATTTCAAAACTATATACGTGCCAGATTTGGAAATAATATTTTTGAATCTGGAAGTGTGTTTATGATACCATTATCCATTTGATAAAGGTAGAGTGAACATGCGGGGCTTATTGTAAGCAAAAGTGACCTCGGAGTGGTCGTGAATTACCAGGCATTCTGAAATGGGTCACTGGAGCTGCAATAGAGCTAACACCTTCTAACTCCCGGACTAAACCTGCTTTAATTTAAGGGTAATAAAAAGCAGTTTTCTTCCATAGTAACACTGCCGGACAGTGGGGGTTAGATTGTACACACACACACACACCTCGGCATTGAGCACATGCTTTTGGAAACTGTTAATAATTCCTTTTAGTTTTACCACATAGTGGCTACTTATTGTTTAACATCATGCCATTTTTTATAGAGATTTTTAGTCGGCTAGTTTATCTCTTTATCATGCCAATATGAAATGAAAGGAGAAGCCAAAGTAGTTGCACGTGGACCAGAGTAGTTTCAAATAATGATTTCAAAACAGTCGGAGTCGGTACTTTTCCTTCGCCTCCAACTCATTATGCTCAAAAGTGCGTCCGATTCCGACTCGACAGCCCTGAAATAGTCGGAGAACCACGCATTATACCGTTGCATATTCCGTTCTGTTGATTACATCGAGTTGAACAAATACAACAAAAATAATGCCAAACAATTGCTTCTCTTCTCCTACCTTTCGTTTCACAGGCCATTACGTCTCTTGTTAACAAACCTCTCCAAATGAGCACCACCATCATCGTCATCATTCAGCGTGAATTCGATCGCCATTGAACATTTTCAGGTAAGTTTATTTTTTTTTTTTTTTTGCAACAGCTGTAACATAAAAAAACAACTTCAACCACCCTTGACTGACCGAACAGTCGAGTTAATGGTTTGCTAATTAAGGCTGGTTGTCAATGGAAACTTTAGAACTCGATTGTTGCTTCGTTGCATTTGACCTGATAAAAAATAATAATTCTGCCTGTTCGTTTGTTCGCTTTGATTGGCGAGTTTCTTCGTGATTTTTTCTATTTGTCCATGATAGGAAAACTTTTCTTTTATATCTCATCGATACAAAAAAAACCGCAAAGCGCAAAATTATCAAGTGCTCAAAACCAATCAACTAGGAAAGCATATTACAGTAATCGCCTTTTAAGGGGGATTTTGTTCTCGCTTTCTTGCGATAAAATAAAAAAAAAAGTTTACGTTCAGCAACATGACGACAATAAGCTTTCAGAGCGTGTTCTCGTGTTTTCCGTCAACGTAGGCGAGATCGGAACAACACCAGCTGGTGCTGGTATTAGGATCTGCTCCGAATGATGGGACACAGCAGTCAGTCAGCCGGTATGAATGGAAAAGTTTGTTCCGATGATACAGTTTCTTTTGAATGAGAGTACAAAAAGTTTTCGATGCGGCGCAGCGGATAAATGCTGGCTTTGTTGAAATTGCTTTCGGTCTGGATATTGTTTATGGATGTTGCATTATAAAGTTGGTTTTGTCGTTTTGTGAAACTTGGAGCTTTGCTCGTGCTTGGGCTATTTCTGTATTCAGTCATTCGTGCCATTACTGTATTCAGATTCCTGACCATACAACATTTCATTAAACTTAAACAATTCTAAATAAAACTTTCGCTATCCTCCATGCACCATGTTAATTGCCATACGACTTAACCACAATCAACATCAAAAACTCACTTGATACTGGAACCAATTAGTAAAACGAGACACTGTACACATTGCTTTCATTTGTCAACTTTGCTCGAAGACAGGGATGCGAGTGTTTAGCATGTAAACATCCAACGTGGTAAGTCGCAGTGCTACACAAAAACCAGTCCTCGCTATCATCGGGCTCCCCCGCTCCCCGCTCACTCGCCAAACTCACCCACTGGCAGTTGAAATAGTTCGTACATAGGTATTTAATAACCAGCTTGTTGACACGTTAGTCTAGCTCCTGTATTCGTCCTACAAAAGGACTATCCTCTCCTATAAACTACAAAACTCCTCCATGACATCGTGTTGAATGAAATGTCCGCCGCATGCCTCATTTCCCTTTCGTCCATTCTCGAGAATCGGGATGTAGGTAGGCACTCTAGCTCTATGCTGTGAGTTGAATAAAAGACCCAAGTTTCCAAGCTCCTTCCTTCGGCGGCGGCATTGTCGCTTTTCTCAGGGGAAAGCGTCTATTTAGAGCAGCAGTGATTTTCACTTTTCGTTTTAATGGCCCCCTCGCCGCACATTCAACACCTTTTTGTTCCTACCTGTTAATCATACATCAGTGACACAGTGACTGACTCTATCTGCTTCTTAAGGTTGAATACAGTTTTCCCTGTGGAGGAGGGGCGGCGGGTGCGGGTTTGACGTTAAAGATGTGGGACTAACTTAATAATAGTGGCTGTATCATCGGAGTTTGTGCCGACGAAGAGGATGATAACGGGGGGATTTTTCATTTACCACCGACTCATTCATTCATTCATTCGTCCACTTGCCTGGAGGCCTCTCCTAATTTGATTCAAAGTGTAGATTTATTGAAGTTGTTTCAACTTGTAATATATGCCGGTCGAGTGTCACCGCATCTGTCATCCCTTGTCAGTGCGAGGGGTTATCTTTTCGGACAGATTGAATGTGTTGTCTGGCATTTGATTGTAAATATTTTCAAAGCAATTTTCGGGCGTAGAGCTTCCGGTAAACTTACTTCCATTTACTGAAGAATTTGAGCAATATATCGAAATAGTTCAGCATGTAGCTTGAGCGGAACGAGCAACTTTCCGATTACCTGTCGAGCTGTGATTTGCATGTCAGGTGCATATGAGCCAATCTTTACTTGTTGGAAGTTACATGTTCCAAGTTGGAAAGCTAGCGGCGATGCATACAATGAGAAGAAAGTTTCATAGAGCTTATTAAAATGCTTTCTTGGTATGGTTTCATCAAGACAACCAGTGAAAAGATGGCTTTGACACAAAGAAGAAAATTGATATTGGTTGTATGCCCAAGGCTCAAGCAGAATAGAAGGAGCATCTTCGAAACGAACTTCAATCTTTGACCTATTTTTTTTTTAATTAATTTATTTGTACAGGCTCAATCAAATAAACTTTACAGAGCCAAGTTATCTTTTGCGTTATACATAATTGATGTCTTAAATCTAGAGTTAAAGGAGCTGAACCGATTACTCGCGGTCGTCTCGAGGTTAGTAGAGATTTACAGTTTTATGGATGGTGAGAGGGAGGAGGAGGTTTGAGTTATGATATACGGTACAAATATTTCATTATTCCTAAAACATGAACTTATTCCTATTCAATTTGGTATCCACAGTGTAATTATACCATTATTACAGAAACAAACATTAAAAAAAACCCCACACGAACAAAACAAAAACTAAACCCAAGGTTAGTCAAACTTACAATCTAAGGTTAATATTCTTAAAGAAAGCATATATAAGTTTCATAAACTCCAGATCGCGTCTACCCAAAATATCCCGAACTGGAACATTAGGTTGTCTACCTCGATCGCGAAGGGAATCGTACAGTTTAGATCTGACTCCGCGATGCTCAGCACAAGATAATATAAGAATAAGATAATGTGATCTACGTCCTGGTAACCTTGTACACATTCACAGAGATTGCTGTCCCTCAGCCCAACACGGAACAAGTGAGCGTTTAACGAGTAGTGATTGGACATGAGGCGAGACATCATTCGAATGAAGTCTCGACCCACATCCAACCCCTTGAACCAAGGACTCTTCGACACCTTAGGGATGATCGAATATAGCCATCGTCCCAAACTTCCTTCGCTCCATTTATTCTGCCAGCTGTCGATTGTAAATATCGCCTTCCATAGCGCCCACCTTAGCAATTGAGTCAGCCATCTCATTACCCGGAATCGAGCAATGAGATGGGACCTATGCAAAGGTGATGACAAAAGATCATAAAGATAAAGCACTTAGAAGCTCTCGTATTTTCATGAGAAAATACGAGGAGTGCTTTACCGGCCTCATGGAGCGATAACCTCGATAGAACTGAGACTATCCGTAAAAATAAAATAGTGATCTGGTGGAAGTGAGGTGATCGTTTCTAGCGTATAGTATATAGCCGCCAGCTCAGCAATATATACGGAACAGGGAGCTTGAAAATCTTTGACCTATGATCCTTATGTAAAATCGTGTGCTGAATCCAAAAATGTAGTCGGAAAAAATCACAGTAGGACAGATTTCTAGATACAGCTAAAAAATGTTATTTCACTCAAAAAAAGTTTGTTTACCAAAATATAAAAATCTTTTAAAATTATTTGAAATCCAATTTTTTTTCTTGAAAATATGCAAATAAAAACAAATTTATAATTTACAACAATACCACTAATCTAACTAAAAATATTAACTTTTTAATCGAACGTAAATTTTCTTACCTTTAATTTGGCGTTAAAGTATTTGATATAGCTTCATTACAGCCGGAGATATTTGTATTTTAGTAAACAAACTTTTTTGACTGAAATTTAATTTTTTAGGTGTATCTAGAAAACTATCCTACTGAGATTTTTGGATTCAGCGCTCAATTTTACATAAGGTTTGACCTGTGATCCACATTGAAGTTCTTTTTTTTTACTTTTATCTGTAAACTAGTGATATAGGGGAAATGACGGCTTCGGCATGACAAACTATTTTCGGCAACACAAATTGAAACACTATTTTCACTGGATTTTCTTACGAAAACACTTCGCTGAATGCATGCAAACGATTCTTTATGCTTTCAGCTTCAATTTGACTATATTTTTACCACTGAGAAAAAGCAATCTAGCAGGGTTTTCTTGACATGAAACACACGCACTACAAATTGTAGCTGATTTCGAGTTGCCGATAATAGAACAGCAGATTTACACGCAGTTCAAATAGAACGGTTGCCGAAGAAAAACTGGTTACCGACAATACTCGCTCTCACTAGAGAAGATTGGAGCTTTGTAAAAGCGTTTCAAAACAGTTTTTTACAATTTTTTCGACTGAAATTGTTAGTGCAGCTGGCAGCAAAAGATTGTAAACAAACCAATACTGCATATGTGTGCCTTCCTTAGAGAAAAAGGCTATAGAAAGAAGGTCGCTGCTTAGGTTGCCGAGAATACGTAAATTCCCTAATTAAGTATTTGTGAAATGGTGTTGAAAAAAAAACATAAACGTGGTAACAAAATGACATTTTCGGTTAAACAATTCTCATGAAAAGTCAGTTAAAACCACGAATGCTGCGATAACAAATGTTCTAAATATAACTCACTATGCTAGTTATGACACTAGTGGTCTAGTTTTTAGCCCTAGAGCCTGACTCATATTTGACATAAATTTGCAAAGTCTTACAGGGTATCGACTACCTGAAAAAACTTGGAAAATCAAGGAATATCAGGGAACTAATTTTTGGACCTGGAAAATCAGGGAATTTCAGAGAACTACATTCAAATTCATGAAAATATTTCTTAAACACAGAAACTTTTCAAAATGTATGACTGACTTCGCTAGTTTCAAACATCTAAATTACTCGGTGTAACGTGATTGATCATTCCAAATTGAGTTGCGTGATTACTCGATGTTGATTTTTTGCAAGTTGAGCAAAAATTACTCAAATAAAAGGGTATTTCTATGATTTTCGGCATAATATAAACTCAGCTCTCACTGGTTGTTGGCACATTCCTGAGTTTAACTGAGATCCTGAGGGATGATAAAATTTCCATTTCCGCAGACGCTAGACGTCGTTAGTTTTGCAAAATTTAGCCTCCTAATGGGTATGTGAGTCTCTTAATAGATGTTACACCTAATGGCGTCTGAGCA